CACAAACAAACGAACAAAAAGATAAAAGGCAAAAAAAAAATGAAAACAAAACCAAAAAAAAGGAAAAAAAAAAAAAAAAGAAAGAAAGACAAGTCTTCTCTGGTGTATAAAATAAAGAGGCACAACACTGGCAGCAGCAGCAGCTGTCAATGATGCACATACCACCCAGCACTTACGGGCATTATTACAAGAAATGCACAGTCTACTGCAGCGAGGGGGTTGTACCGGAACATTTCTCTAGGCCAAAGCGGAAAAAATAAAAGACATTCATCGCACTTCGTTCCAGTGTCGAGACAAACCCTAGAAAGTCCAGATATAACCCCATTAACCGCAATTCGTCCTTGTACCGTGTGAACATAATAGATTTTTCTTCCACCATCTGTAACAACATATTGCGTATACGCCTCCATTGGAGTTGACCCATGCCTCTCACAAGAGATAAGTTTGGCGTAAGAATTTCAGTGGACCAAGTCCACTCCTGTTCAGTAGAACGTAAAATTTGTTTAAATTCCAGTGCTTCACAAGTCAATATTTCATGGCGTTCAAGATGTTCCAAAGAAATAGGGAGAGCCAAATGCTTTCCGAGATGGGTGGAACACGATGGGCATGTAATTGGGAGAGCTGTTGGCTCAAACAGGGTGGAGTCTTTCACTTTATAGTGGTCCTTCGCGTGCGCTGCAGGAGAAGTTGCGTTCGTCGGATCGGTTGCACTCAGAAATGACACAGGGGTGTTTGAGACCCAATCACCGGTTCCACAAAACGAGCGGTACAAAAGTGATGCATCCTCGCCAGGACCTGCGTCCGCTTCAATGATATCACTACCCACTGATATTGTATTATCATCTTCAGAGTAGGCCCGAGCGGAAGCCCCACCGGGCCCAGCGAGGCTGTTTGCAGCACTTTGATGCACAATATGACCCAATGAGCTTAGACCTAAACGTTTGCCCCTATACTGTCCCCCTGTTGCATTTCCATATTGTCGTGAACGCTGGGAGGAGGCGGAGACATCTGACATCAAATCAAAGTATAAACTAACAGACAAATCAAATGCCCTAGGAACTGTACTGAATGCCACTGAGCGTAACCCTCCAAGAAACAATTCCCATCGACCGTGAATGCTTTTGCTCTGGCTATTTGCTAAAGAAAAACTAATATTAGGAATATACTCGAGTGCGTCCATGTTATCTCTTATTATCGACCGATTTGAGAGTAATACTTCCTCCCAGAGTTTATATCGGAGATGTAGGATAACGTATTCAATAAAATGCACACGCAATGCAGCGTTGACACGTCCAAGTTCGCCTCCAATAACAGAACGAGGCGTGGGTGATCTAAAAGAGATGTTTTTCTTCGCACAAGAGCTATTATTTAAAAATGACGTAGAAACAACCGCAACTGTACCTTTTTTACTCACTTGTTGTTTCCTCCACGGACGTACCACACGGTGCCAACCCGGCCACCAATTTTTTTTTGCTGAGAGAGATGTGCCCTCAGCCTCAGTCAAGTTGTATTCCGTGTAGCTGGTGTCAAGGTCAATCTCAACAAGATAATTAAGGAAAGATGCAATAGTATTCCTCGCTGCAGTAAATATAGCCGATGCACTGTACACAGTCGCCTTCCAAAGACGCCATCTTACCAATTCTTGCTCCATCACAAGGATATAAAGTTCCTGAATAAATTCTTTCCATATCTCCATCCGCTGCTCCATTTCAAGTGCATTCATGTCATACATTAACGCATATCGATGCTGATTACAGAACAATGGTTGCTGTTTACGTGTATTTAACACGCCTTTATCTCGAACCTTTTCATTTGTGTAATCCCCTTCCCGGGAGAAAAAGGAATTGTGGTACTCGGGTGAGACAATCTCATCCGATTGCAAAATCGACTTTTTTGTTTTCGTTCCAAACATAAAAGACATCATTTTACTTTGACAGGAGTTCTTTAAATTGGTACTGTCCCTCCTTTCCTCCTCCTGGCCCTCTTGCCGGATGCTGCGTCCCGTCTCAAAACTCGGCAAGGGTTGGTTGCGGGCACCCGTCGCCCCACTCAAATTTGCAAAACCCCTGCCGCTCGCCAACGTCAACTGAACCAACACTTCAGGATCCGAGCTGTTAACAAGAAATTTGAGCGGCGGGCTCAAGTTTTGCACGGGGAAGCCGATCAGCCCAATTCTGTTGTCCTGCCGCCTAAACGACGACCCTGACGGCATGCAGGAAGAAAAAAAGAAGCCACTAAAAAGCAAAAAAACAAAAAACAAAAAAGAAAAAAAACACAATAAGCATGATTCAGTCAATACCACTTGCCCTCTCTTCATTGCTCTCCTTTCAAACACACAAGTGACACGCGCATATCTCGTATGCATTAAAAGTACACACAAACACAAGTCATTTGCCCAAATGAATAGCAATTCCTCAAACGGCTGTTAGCCTATCATAAGGTTACAATTCCGGCAAATTTGACAAGAGGAAAAAGAAAAAAAAATGGCATGTGGCCACCGACAATTATTTACTCCACAGACCTTTATGCACAGAGGGGCAGAAAGGCATGCAGAGAAAGTCATTGAGTGACATTCCATTCTTCTTTCACATCTTTGATTCCTAACAGTCCTTTAAGTTTGTGTCCTCGACAGTAACCTGAAGGCATCGCAGGTGTGCATCAACTCACGTGCGGCAAGCCACGTGTTGTGTCGTTCGACCGCGGCTGTCACTGGCCTTTTCGTTTCCTGCAGCAATCCGTCTGTGAGAACCGTTTCCGTGTCATAAATTTCATCGGGGGTTGTCACTGGCACTGGCGCATACGCCCATGAAATGGCAATGTGTGTGCTGGCGCCACAGCACTGCGGCTGCGGTTCATGATGCAGCGGCGGGGGTGAGGGAAGAATCCAGCGCGGCCTGCCAGTCGTGCTCGATCGCCACCGCCGTGACTTGCTCAGGGCGTAATATGGCGACGACAGCCAATCCATGAGATATGCCTCACGGCGGCAAAGTTCCACAACGGCCCGCACAAGCGGTACATTATACTTTGCCATGTGGCAGTAAAGAATAATATCCATGAGTTCGTTCAGGCAAACTCTCACAAAAATTGCCAAAGAAGGTGCAACTGTTGCACCGTGCATAGAGAAACGTGTGCTGATACCATCCGTGTCATATGGCTCAAGTGACCACAACGCCACATGCAACTCCCCTGCAATCGCCTCTATTACATCCGCCTTCAATTTGGTTGATATTTTTTGCGTCCCACAGTTTCTCAGAATCTCATCTAGGCGGAGTGCTGTGAAGACGTAATCCAAGTGTTGGTTGCTCTCCAGTACCGTGCGGAGGGCATCGACAACAGACGTGTTCGTCAGCGTGCGCCAGTTGACCTCCGGGAACAACACAACCAGCCGGTGACAAACAGAATGTCCCCAATTGTGGTCGCCAATGCACTCCATTCGTTGAAACCCAGCGTCTCGGTAAAACTTGTTGGGGTCGGTTTTATCCCCATTTGGCGTCGTGAGTTTCAACAAACCCAACTCCATCAAGGCATGAAGCTTCTCGCGTAATTGTGACGCCTTACGCCCCATGACATGACGCCACAAATTCTCTGGCGCCATATCGGGTGAACACTTCGCCGTGACATACTCATTGCCTGTTTCCGTCTCGCCGAACTCTTGCATGTGTGGGGCGAGAGTAAAACAAGAGGAATGACCCAGCACTCGTTCCCACCGCCGCGTTTCCTCCAGAAAAAAGGCGCTAGATGCTTCCGGAGACACACCCACAGCGCCGCTGGGGTGCCTCTTGGCTCTGGCGACTAACAGCCACATGATCGATTCTACGGATTGATGCAATACTGACCCAGTGTGCGTCAATCCCCTGAACTGCACCTCGCCGCATAGCCGGCAGCGATTAGAATTGGGGGGAAGGAAAAACTCCTCTGGCATGCGAGAAGTAGGCTGAGGCGCAGAGACGAGACTATGGCTCATTTTTCCATGACTCGTAGCAGTAGACACGATTCCCTGAGTTCCCTTCAGCCGCATGGGAACCACAAGGAAAAGAGACGGACGTACCCGTCGTACGGACTGCAGCATCTGCCCCAAAAATCGCCTCGGCCAGGAATTGTAGGAGCGTCAAAAGACATTCACACAGTCAATCTTCCCTGAGCGCCTGTCTCCCAGAGAAGCCCCTTCAATCACGTTTCAGAAACTTACATGAGAAAGACAGACACAGAAAGAGAGAGAGAGAGAGAGATACAAAGACAAATCAACCAAACGCACAGAATGAAGCGGGGTGCTGCGGCAGAACAAATAATGGGACGTGTAAGAAAAAGAATAGAAGCGAAGCCGAGATTTATTTATTTTCCCACAAAATTTCCACGTCTTTAGTGCATCATCAAAAAGAATACGTGGCGAAGGGTATTCGTGTACATTTGTATGTGTATGCGTGTGTGTGTATGTATAGATGTAGAAAGGGAGAGAAAGAGAAAAAAAAAAAAAAAGATATGGGGGTAAAAAACAAGATACAATAAATGAAACAAACAAAGAAGCAACACAATAAAACAAACCACTTTCCCTTTTCCTTTTATTTATTTATTCTTTTCTTTTCCCCCCTCCCCCCCCCCTTTGCCGCGGTTGAGAGTTACTCGCGCGGCCGGTATGAATAGCTGCCATTCTACGTGGGCAATTTTCCAAGTGCCATGCTCGGCGCCCTCCGCCGTCGCTCAGCCGCCAGTCGCTCGTAATCTTTCTCCTCCTGATGCAATTTTTGCCGATATTGGAATACGCTGAATTCCTTATTAAGAAGCCTCTGTTCCTGCTCGCGGCAGTCGGGGTCATTCGTCCTCTCCAACTCCCCCAACTCGTTTCGCAGACGTGCCTTCTTCTCTTGTTCTTTCGTAATTTGCCTCTGTACGGCTTCTAGGCGTTCTTCTAGTGCCTTCCTCTGAAGCTGAAGCTCGTCCAAAGCCGCAGAATTCTCACGACGCTCCTGTTCGATAACTTTCTGACGTTCATGGATGCCCAAACGAAAATAAGCAACACTCACCGTCTGGACAAACTCCCGTGCAAAGTCGTAGAAATCCTGATGCGTCATGACCGCCTCACCCCGTTTTTCCTTTGCAAAGAAGCGATGAAGGTCCTCCACAACATCCGCTGGGAACTGAATCTGACAGGTATGGAAAATGCCCTGAAGGTCACGCACAGTCAAGTATCCCTGCTGGTTTGAATCCCCAACAGCAAACACCACATCCACCTGTTCAGATGTGAGACCTTCCGTTAAACCAAAATAAACATTGCGTCCGTGCTCCGTGGCTGGCACGATCGTGCCATTACTCGTCACCCCTCCAGAAGAGTTCGCATGAAATACGGGTGCAGTGTTGCTAAAATCGTTTGTTGTTCGTCGATTCGCATTTCTTGTCCCAACAGAAGCGCCTGGTCGCTGTGATAAATAGGGGATTATTGGTGTCGATGGGGATCTGTTCCCTGTGTGGTTTAAGCCCATCCCATGCTCCGCATCGACCTTCGCCACGTCTAATAAACGCAAGCCAGAAAAGTACAAACTGCTGCGTGGCGCTGGGATATCGCGCCGTGACGATATGTCATCTCTTGTTGCATGCTTGCGAAACACGTACAACTGATCGTGCACCCGCAGTTGTCGTACATCCGTTAGCTCCACCCACCCCTGTGTATCTTCTTCATACCTCTGCACGCGGCTGACTGTAAACGGCTCCGAAGGACGAGTAGATTTTTCGACCCGTTTCGTATTGATGTCTTTTTCCTCGCCGCGGAAAACGTGTTCCAGTGTACTATAGAGTTCAGCAAGTGCGGCCGGCGGTTCCCTGAACGGCAGCTCCACGTTAACCTTCTCCCCACGTATGTCCGTGCAGGCCAGCACAGTAAATGACATCGCCCAATCAAACCAAGGCGTCGTTTAAAAGTGAAATGATGCTACGATAAAATGCGAGTGGTCGGGTTGCTGAGAGCAGCCACTACAACACACATGTAGTGGGGAGTTCCTTTTCTTCAATAATGTTTTTTTTTCTTTTTCCTTTTTTTCTTGCGTGACGTGATGGCAATTTGCACACGCAACCACGCAGTGAATGAATAAACGATATAACACTAAAAGGGTAAAATCCAACAGAAAGAAATGTGTTGCCTTCCATGTGTAGTGAAAAAGAAAGAAAGAAAGAAAGAGAGAGAGAGAGAGAGTTTAAATCCGTAAACAACAATAAAGGCCAGTATTAAATGGGGAAAAAAAAACCGGCCTGTTTCTTTTTCGTTCTTTACCGTTTCCTCCCCTCCCAGGGGCCCATATATATATATACAATAATAACGGCATATAAATTCCCGAGAAGACAACAACAAAAAGCACTGCAAGAAGAAACATTACCATCGGGTGTATTCCGTACTCAACTTTCTGTAATTCGTACCATTTGGAACATGTAACGTATCAAAAGTGGAAGTTATGCCGCATCTACACATGCTCCCACCTCATATCTATTTCTATGTACCTAAGTGGCAGGTAAACCGCTTCCATCCCATGCGTTACATCAACAGCGGCTTGGGATGGCTTAGATAAGCGGGGTGGTGGGTGGGGGCGATGGCTTTGAGGAACATATCCAGTACGCATAGAGTCACTCACCTGCGTTTCCTCTCAGCCGCTCTTGTACCTACTCAATGTGTCACAGACCTCTTCAATTGCAGAGGCAACTGCTGGCGGTAGTCAAAGATCTCCTCCCGCCACTTCACACGGCAACGTTACGTACAAATACGCACCGACAATGGACGCTGAGTCAAAACAACAGTAAAATATTATTATATAATGGCGTCCTGCAGTGCTTCTTGTCCCGTTATTCTCGGTATCGTTTTTTTTTCTTTTGCTTTTTATTTATCTTTTTATAAAAATAAAAACAAAATTATGATAATAATAATAATTTAAAACAAACAAACAAACAAACAAGACCAACAAAAATATCAACAACAACAAAACAAAACAAAAAACGATGATGCGGTTTTGTTTTTTTTTTGTTTTATTTTCTTACCCTTTTAACATTGGAGCACTGGGACGCCGCGGGAAGGCGGTGATATACATGTTTGTTGGTGTACACTTTGTCTCTCCCTCCTTCTCATTTCCCGCCCTAACCCGTACAAATAAATCTCCCTCAGTTGTTTTATACCCCAGTTGCCCATGACCGCTAGGATGCAGACCAAACATCTTTTAAATATCGCCCAATATTATTAAGCTTCGCGAGGTATGCCTGAGCATCTTCTTCACTCATGAGCGCCTTCTCCTGCAAGATTTCCAACAGCGCTCTTTCTACGTCTTTTGCCATGTACTTTGCATCACCGCAGAGGTAAATATTCCCTCCTTCGCGTAAAATGTCCCAAACTTCATCTGCACGAGCCAACACACGGTGCTGCACGTAGACCTTTGTCGCCTGCTCCCGACTGTAGCAGACATCCAACGCTGACAGCGTTCCGTTTTCCAAACACTCCGTCATAAAATCGCTGTAAATGTGATCCTCCTCTTTCCGCCTACATCCAAAGAAGAGAATTGCTTTGCCAAGTTTATTGCCCCTCTTCTTCCATGCGTTGCGGCGATGGAGAAAACCTATAAGGGGCGCCACGCCTGTTCCGGGCCCAATCATCACAATTGGCCGTTCCTTCTCTCGTAACGGGAGGTGGAATTTTGATTTGCGCACAAACACGGGAATTTTCTCTCCAATTTGCAGTTCCCGCAGCATTCCTGTACAAAGCCCTCCCTCTAAAATCGCCGCCGTGATGGAAAGTCTGCCGGGATGGGAGAGGAGATCGGAGGAAATCGAAAAGTAGCGAGGAGCAATACGTGGCATCATCTCAAGGAAAAACTCAAGTGGGACCGAAATCGTATGGTACTTTCGCAGGAACCCATGAACGGTCCGTAACTTGGCTGAAAGTTTGGCGTACTCCTTCGCAGACTCCGGCTCCACGCGCAACAATTTCAACAATTCCTCCTTTTCTGCCGGATCCTTCGCGTAGTGGGCGAAGGCACGCAATGTGGACTTCCTTGGCGGTCCGGCGAGGTCAATGTACCACTTGAGTGCAGTTCGAACCGTGACACGGGCTGCAAATACATTTTTGCCAGTTTTCTTCTCCTGCAAGGAGAACACCTGCATCGCCTCCTCCTCACTGACACCTAGTATCTGCAGGTAGGCATTCACCATCGCATCGGTGTTGTGTGGAAGAATGCCAAGATGGTCGCCACTTTGATACGAGATGATGGTGTCCTCAATGCTCAACTCAATAAATCGTGTGCTGCGCTCGGTGGTGTTACGCAGAAGCTCTTTATTCGCGGTCAACGGCGCCCACGCCGGAAGGCGTTGGGTTGGCTCCAATACGGAAGCAAGTTTTGGGAACGGGAGGGACGCCTCCTCGGATGGCTCCCACACTTTCATGCGGCACGCCGGCTCCATCGGCTCCTCCGCGTGTTGACGCAACTCAATGCCGAGCACGCGACTCACCGCCGGCCACAAGTCACGATGCCACTCATCAAAGTCTTCCTCAATATTTTCCCCCGCGTTGCCACAGCCCAGGCCATATATACGCTGCGCCCCCAACTCCGCCATGCGACGATCCACCACAATGCCCTCCTCACAGAAGTAACGGTATTGGCGATCGCCCAAGCCGAATACGGCGTACTTGACATTTCGCAGCTCCTCATCGGGGGTGCGGCTGTCATCCATCAACCAGTCGTGGAATGCCTTCATCGAGTCCGTGGGTTCTCCCTCGCCGTAGGTGGAGCAGATAATGATCACAAGATGCTCGTATTCAAGGTCGTGCCCCTCGTAGTTCTCCGTATCACAAATTCTTATAGGAACCCCCAGTCGTGTCCCCTCCCGCACAAGCGTCTTTGCAAACATTTCCGCCGTCCCCGTTTGACTCCCGAATAAAACGCAGACTTCTTTTCGCTCTGTTGACACCTTCTTCTCCGTTATCGCAGTCTTCATCGGCGTCTTGGCATGTGAGTGAGAGTTCAAGCCAAGAATGCCTGTCAACCAGGCAAAAACAGCCGCAATAACAATTGTCCCAATTAGGTAGAAAAGCATCGCTGAATCGTGGAACCACACAAAACGTCAAAAATAAAAAGCTCAAGACAAAATAAAAAAAAAAAAAAAAAGAGAGAAGCAAAAGGAAAAACAAGGAATGAACTAAACAATGACGCTGGCTTCTCCTACATAAATGTATGTATAATTATGTAATCGGTGTGTGTGTGTGTGTATTCACAACCTAAAGAAAGGGATAGAGAAAGTCACAGGAAATGCTAATCAACAATGCCAAGGAGAATGCAATAGCCCATTCAAAACAAGTAGCAGAAGAATCCAGTCTTATTTACAAAACAACAACAACAACAACAACAAAAAAGAAACAAACAACAAAACCGGTAAACTCCGATGTCGCCGACAAACATCCATTTCAATTTAGACATTTGGGAGTAGTGGCACTTAATATGCGGGCATCAAAACCCATTGCTCCAAGTAAGGATTTACTGTGTACAGTAAAACAAAGTATAAAGTTTTAATTTAACCAACAGTACATTCCATAAACCTCTTCTTCTTCTTCCTCCACCTCCAACAGCAACAATAACAACACAAAGGGTCTAACCGATCCTTATTTTTACCTGCACTCTTCTCTCTTGGCGTTTTTATCGTGCATTGCCTTAAAAAAAAAAAAAAAATAGAAAAGAAAAAAAAAAAAAACAACAACAACCGAAAGCGTCTTTAGCGGAATTTGTAAAAAAAAAAAGTCTAACATAAACCGCGGTGGCTGTCTGTTTCCTCAATCCGATGGCTTGTTCTTGCGTCCTTCACCACAATGTCCTTTTACTTCCTCCTGCAACGGTTGTAAAGCCTGAATGCCGAGACCAATTACTCTCCTTACTCCTGTCCACCGAGCGATCCCCTGCGGGATGGCAATATTTCTGTTCCTGTTTTCAGCGGGAATGTGTGTACTCATGTTGTTGGGGCATCATGGCTACTCCACCCTCCCTCCTCCCGTGGACGATGTTTATTCCGCGCCCTCATTTTGTTTTTCCTTCGTGTCGGCTCTTTCTTCTGCTGTCCGCTTTCCCCTGCATGTTTTTTTCCCTCTTTTGAATTTCTTCTCGACAATTCGGCGGTATTCGCTTTTCCCGTCTTCTCGCCTTCCGCCTTCTGGCGGTTCTTTTTTCTCACCCTACGACGCGCGTTCGCTTTGCCCCGATCAGACTCCGCCTCAGCAGCAACCTGTGCCTCCTTATCCCTCTGTTTGACCCTCCGCCGCAGCCCTTTTTTCATCTCTCGCTGCCGCTTACGCCGTCGTGCCTTCGTTGACTCTGCGTCCACGCCTATTTCCTTCTGTGTGCCGCCAACCTCTGCCAGCGCCTCACCGCCTTCATCCGCCTTGATTATTCGCAGCCTGCGCACCTTCTTCCCCTCCGCTTTGAACTCCTCCGGTGCCGCTGCCTCATTTCCTTCCTGTTTACTCTGGCGAGGCGGTTTCTTTAGCAACTCCTTTTTATCGTGCTTCGCCGCCTCCTTCGTCGTTGTCCTCTTCCTTTTCCCTGCCCTCTCCTTTTCCTTCTTTTTCTCCTTCCTCTTCGTCTTTATCATCTTCACTTTCTTCAGATGCCCACACTCGGCAAGAAGCTCCTGCACAAGAAGAGACTTCGGCGCGGCCTCAGGTGTTGGCTCACAGCCGAGCTCTTGTGTCTCTTCCATTCGCTCTTCGGATTGCGTCTCGCATGCCGCCTTCTCTAATCCTGCGCAGAAGCGTTTATAATCCTCATCATCTTCAACGTTGCCAGTACGACACTCCAGCGGTGCAATATTTTTAGTTTTCTTCCCAGCCGCACCATGCCTGATAGGAGCTGAGATGCCAAAATACACCGGCACCCACTCCACCACTGACGCCATGGCGTCGGGGACATCGTCGCCCCCATCAAAAACCACACGGCCGTCAAAGATTTCTTTTACCACTTCAACCACACGATTCGCGACATTTTTGTCGCCCTCTTGCACTGGACACAAGGCAATGATGGCTGTGGAAAGAACATGTGGTCGGTCACCACGGCGTGGGCAACCGCGAAGGACAGAAACATCTATCATATCCCCCACATCGCCACAACCAACTCGCTCAAGAATAATGCCCTTCAGCTTGACTTCAGTGATATCGTGCGGTAAGCGCCGTATAAACAGGCATAATGGTCGTTGCCGTTTAGGGTGTTTCAACGCCATCACATAAGGATCTCAGCTAGCGGTAATCAAACAACAGCAACAAGAAAAAAAAAAAAAAAGAAAGGAAAACAAAACGATAAATAAATAAATATCAAAGCTAAAAGGTTTTATTCACAGCATGCTCGCACGCATACACACACACACACACACACACACACACACACACACACACACACACACACACACACACACACACACACACACACACACACACACACACACAACCCCCTTTATTTCCCTCTCTCGCTTGTTCGCCAGTAGGGCACTTCCGTTGCGTAAAGAGAGACACATCCATAGCCCTTACTTAGTCGAACATTTAACGACATTCCCCGACCAAATTTTCCCTGATCTCAACAAAAAAAGACCCAAGGGGAGGTGAGGCCTCTTAGAGCACTTTGAGTATTTCAAAGAGTTATGGGGCAAATCGCATACCTCCAATTTCATCGCCTGCCACGAACAAATCCTCTCCAACTACCTCCAAAAAGTCATCCAACGCATCCATCTCCTCGTAGCGCAAGGGGTACGCCGAACTGGGAGCAATAGACGCGTCATCCCGACGATGGTGAAGCGACAAAGAGACATCTGCACAGTCACCCCAACCAAGGAAAGTCAAACCTTTCACCCTCGGACGGATTTCCAAATTGTTTTCCTCTGATCCCATGCGGCTGCTTGTCCCTGTAGTTCCATTACCCCTCGTTCCAGCATTCCCAACCTCTTTGGGGGCTGAAGAAGTGTGAGCAAACCTCTGCTCACACAAAACCGGCACCAACTCTGCTGGGTACAGCCATCCCTCATGCTCAACCACCGCAGGTGGCTTCTTTCCCGCTGAAGAGCCAACGTCTTGGCTATTCACAGGTGCCATTGTGAAATTCCTACCAGGACGATATCCATCATCTGTGCTGAACGAGCTCGTGCTGCCAAAAATACCTTCGCTGCCAGCCAGTTTTTCATTGTCTGATCCAAAAGATGTCAAACTCGAAATTTCCGAGGTCTCCGGGCTAATTACCGTCTCTTCATCATCCTCGGAAACAAATACTACATTGGCACTCGCACCCGTTTCCAGCAGGGGTTCCTCGTCATCATCAAGAAACAGTTTGGCTCGTGCTATAGAGACCAAAGTTGGAGGAGGGGCGCTCATTGACGTCCTGGGATTTGTCGTCACAGAATTCGTAACAGCAAAACTTGTTGAAAAGGTGTCGGCTGCGCCTAATAATCCAGTACGTGCACGTTCCCTAATTTCCCTTTTTGGCATTTTCATGTTTTTTGCTATGGAAGTCCTATGTGAAGAAGTCGGACCCCTCGATGAGTGTGTGGTCTTTATTTTACTCCAAAGCTGGTGGGCGGCTCTACCCTTGTACGTGCGACCGCCGTATTGCAGCTGACGACGGCCGTTCACAGTGGACCAACGATGCTCATATGGCTCTCCATTGGGTTTTAGCTGCAAACTATTGCTCTTCTCTCGCACTCGCTCTATCTTGCATCGCGGTGTGGCTCGGCTGTTTTTACCCCTGCCACCGGCCCTCCTTTTACCGCGCCTGGTGGGCATGCGCCTTCCTCCATTCCCGCCACCCACTGCATCCTGTGCCGGTATCGTAGTCGCAGCAGTGTCGTCGGGCAAAAAAGACACCTTTCCCCTTTTGGCATCCGCAATACCCGTTGCATGCCAAACTATTTTCGCCGGGGGCTTCCTCTTCACATTGCCCTCATTGCCGCACGGTTCCTCGCAGGATGAAAAAACGGTTGGCAGCGTGCCACCGGACCTCTGCAGCTCGCTCACCCTCACAATGGCACCACCGTACCGTCCTCGCTGGGAAAAGTCCGCCGCATGCATGACGTCCGACTTCACACTCGCTGAATTCACCGTGACAGCGGAGCAACACGGTACATCGCGTTGAGGCCCATCAGCAGGAGGCACTGAGTTACTACAGGGGACTCCCAAGCAGGGATCACTCAAACTGCTGCGAGCCAGAACAACACGAAACTTGCTCGATGGCTTCTCACCCGTCATCAACGGCATCAACAGCAATCACTAGAAATGCGACAGTTTGTGCAATGTGCGCCACCCACTCACACACACACACAAAAAAAATAATAAATAATAGTAATAATACAGAGAACACACACAAAAAACAAATCCAATACGTCAATCATCAAAGCCAACAATCAAATCAAGATGTCCCCTTCCACTCGGTTTCATCCCGCCAAACAGCCTCCGCCATAAAAAGCAAAGAAGAATAATTTAAAATCTAACATGACAACAAGAGGAATTCCCGCAAAACAAATAAATGCAACAACAATCGTGACCCCGACACAGCAATGACAAAAAAATTACAAAAAAGAAAGAATGAAACAACAACGCACACAAAAAAGCTCTCATAAGAGCATTCAAAAGAAAAACCGCCGTGCACAAAGAATAATGGTAATAATAATAAATCACTTCGCCAATCCCTCTTGTTCTCTTTAACTGGCTGCAAATAAAACCGCTCCGCTCATTTCGCCCACATATAACAAAATGCCACGGCTCCGTTGCGAACACAGCTGCAGTGGCCAAGCGCCCCAGGCGACGGCCAGCACCACGCACGGGAGAGATGCAAAACCCGCTGTCACAGTCGATATAATCGCCGCCGCCCCCCACGCAGCCAGTGACATTTGCTCCCCAAGCTTAAGCTCCCGCAGGCACCCGTCACGCAGCTTCCGCCGCAGACAGCGGCACTGCTGGGGAATTACTGCACCCTAAAAAAAAGAAAAAAAAAAGAGAGAGAGGGTGAGCAAAAAGAGACGTGCACACTCACAATCATCCGCACTGCGCAGTGTTCATGCCACAAAACACAACGTACTCAGTGTCTAAAAAGCACAGAAGGAAACCAAAAAGGACCGCACACCCCGCACCTGGCGCACATGCTAAAGAAATAAAAACAACATAAAACCACATATGCGGGGCGTGCGGCGCCTCTCACCATTTCTTCTCCCTACACACCTTCTCAAATCTTGTATCGCTTCAGAACTCCGTCTACTTGCCCGCGCTTCTTCCCTCCTCCTCTTTTCCCACCCTCTCACTCTCTTCATACCGTTGCCAACCTCACGCCACCTGCATGGCTTTCATTGTCAGAGGAAGATGGGAAAAGGCAACCAGAGCAGCAGTTTCGCGGCTCCGTACAAAGACAACATTGGGCCACACAGAGGGGCTACGCGTTCGTTCGTGCAATCCTCTCTTTCTCACCCCTCCTTCGACTGCTTGGTGCCATACCAGTGTGTTTACGGTCAGAATACGGCAGCATTGCGTTCTCCCTAAGGCAGCAGCAGTGGTTGCTGCACTCCTATTATCGCCTCTGGCGGCGACCTGCGTGCGTGCCTACAGGTCGTCCATTGGCTCCGGCCGCTCATCCCCATCGGCGCCCCCGCCGCTCTGGTACACCTTCTGGATGATCGGGTTCGTCACGCTCTGCAGCTTATCGCGCGCCTCGTCGTACTCCTCCTTGTCAGCGTTAGGATTGTCGTCAAGGAACTGCATCGCCTCCTTCACTGCGGCCTCCACGGCGCTCTTGTCATCCGCGCTCAGCTTCCCACCAAGCTTCTCCTTGTCGTTTACCTGGTTGCGCAGCGAGTACGCGACGCTCTCCAGCGAGTTTCGCGCATCCACGCGCTCGCGCACCTTGCGGTCCTCGTCCTCAAACTCCGCAGCCTCGCGCACCATGCGCTCAATCTCCTCCTCGCTCAGGCGACCCTTGTCATTCGTGATGGTGATCTCCTCCTTCTTCCCCGACGACTTGTCCACGGCGCTCACCTGCAGGATGCTGTTTTCGTCAACGTCAAAAGTTACCTCAATCTGCGGCACGCCACGCGGAGCCGGCGGGATGCCGGACAGCTCGAACTTGCCAAGCAGGCGGTTGTCCTTCGTCATCTGCCGCTCGCCCTCGTAAACCTGAATCAGCACGCCCGGCTGGTTGTCCTGGTACGTTGAGAACACCTGGCTCTTCTTCGTTGGGATCTGCGTGTTGCGCTCGATCAGCTTCGTCATCACGCCGCCCACCGTCTCGATACCGAGCGACAGCGGGATCACGTCCACCAGCACAACGCGCCCACCGACCTCGCTCTCTCCGGTCAGCACCGCTGCCTGCACCGCCGCGCCGTACGCCACCGCCTCGTCGGGGTTGATGCCACGGTTCGGCTCCTTGCCGCCAAAGAAGTCCCGAATTAGCTGCTGCACCTTTGGCACGCGTGTCGACCCGCCAACCAGCACAATCTCGTGTATGTCACTCTTCTTTAGCTTCGCGTCCTCTAGCACGCGCTGCACTGGCACCAGCGTCCCCTTGAACAGTTCCATATTCAGCTCCTCGAACTTCGCGCGTGTGATCTTCTCACTAAAGTCGAAGCCCTCCGTCAGACTGTCCACCTCCACGCGTGCCTCTGGGTGCGACGACAACTGCCGCTTCGCCGCCTCGCACGCCTTGCGCAGCCGCGCCAGCGCCTTTTGGTCCTTGCTCACGTCCACATTCTTCTTCTTCTTCAGCATATCCACAAAGTAGCGCATCATGTTGTTGTCAAAGTCCTCGCCGCCGAGATGCGTGTCCCCATTCGTTGCCACAACCTCAAAAAAGCCCTCGTCGATCGTTAGCAGCGACACATCAAAGGTGCCGCCCCCGAGGTCAAACACAAGGATGTTCTTCTCGCCGGCCTTGTTCAGACCGTACGCAATGGCAGCTGCTGTCGGCTCGTTGATGATGCGCACAACATTCAGCCCCGCGATCGTGCCGGCATCCTTCGTCGACTGCCGCTGGGCGTCATTGAAATACGCGGGCACCGTCACAACGGCGTTTTTCACCTTCTCGCCCAGGTACGTCTCCGCGATCTCCTTCATCTTCTGCAGCACCATCGCGCTCACCTCCTCGGGCGTGAACTGCTTCTTCTTACCGCCAACCTCCACCTGCACCTTAGGCTTACCGTCCTTGTCCGCCACCACCTCGTACGACAGCAGCTTCTTGTCAGTCTGTACCGTGGCGTCGCTGTACTTTCGTCCAATGAGTCGCTTGATCGCGTAGATCGTGTTGTGCGGGTTCTGCGGCAGTTGGTTCTTCGCACCGTCGCCAATGAGACGCTCAGTCTCCGTGAAGGCCACTACGGACGGCGTGATACGGTTGCCCATATCGTTCGGGATAATGTGCACATCTCCCTTCTGCCACACGCCCACAACCGAGTATGTCGTGCCGAGATCGATACCGACGCATGGAGCTTCCACCTTCCCGGTGCCGTCCGGAGCGGCCACCGCCACCACCACCGCGGACAGAACCAGCAGCGCCTGAAGGAGCATAAGTGACGTTAACTTCAGTTTGGCTGAGTTGCCGCTTTGTGCGCTTAACTTTTCTCTTTCGCCGCTATGCAAACTGGGGGAAAAAGGAGGAGTGGAAATGCAGGAGAGGCGGAACGCAACAGTGGGGTTCCACTCACAGCAAACAAAGAGAGCGGCAAGACAAGAAGCCACAGTTGATCACAATCGACAAGACGCACGTCGCTAAAGCGGAAAACGCGCAGTACCGCACCAAAAAAGCGCTCCGACCCCACCAGCGAGGCACACACGAATGCTGCCCGCTCTCACGCACACACATCTGGCAAGATGACGCAACGAGAGCCGTCCAGCTGCCCTCGCACCACTCCAGTAGCAACACAGCCTGCTCGCAACCACTAAAAATATCCCCATGAACAACTATTTCCCACACATGCGCACAAAGAAGCCCGCACAAGCGTTGCCAATCGAGAAGTATTTGGACCATCTGCCTCTACAAGAAGCACGCAGCCACAAAGAAGGGGCGCCCACAGCACTATAACAAAAGCTGGGGCATAGAAAGGTGGCGTGACGCCCATTACATCCACCGGCAAAAAACAACAACACCGCAACATACAGAAGCCAGACACAGAAGTAAAAAGGTTTCCAAATTAAAGTCTTTATTTTTTCTTTTATAAGTGCGTGTAGCTATTAAGTGCCACCTGGGTGCCGAAGAGGTGGTCGAGCAACGACAAAAGTTTCCTGCTATGAAGCAACTGCCATTGAGAGAACTTTCCGAGGCGGAGGTCCTGTTCAATGCCCAGCCGTTGGCGCACAGCCAATGTGCCTGGACATTCTAGAAGCAGATGGTGCAAGGTTTCCTGCGGGCCGATTGGCGTGTTTGTGGAAGCTGGCTGATCCTGCGGCAGCAGAGATCGCCTCCTGACACTGCTGTTTCGATGCCGTGTTGCGTCTGGGTTGTGTGCGCAGCGAATTCTGTGCTGTGCGGTGCTTCTCCGTGTGGGGAAAACCATGTCACAGAAATCACATTTGAGCTCGGGAAGCGGTGGAGGATGTTCCGGATGAAATGACCGACAGTGACTGACGAGATTCGAGAATCCCGTCAATGTAGAATCACAGTGCGGACATTTCTCCTTCCGACGGCGTGTGACGGTTCGTCGCCTTACTGGAGAGACGTCTTCCTCCCTCGCCGACGGGGGAACAGTGTCCGTCCCCGGTGCAGTTGGATCGTTGTTAGAGCGCATATATGCAGACTCTTCCGGTGAGATGTTGCAGAAACGGCATTGGTTCGTGCAATCTCTCACGGCCCAGTATGGTCGGTCCCAGAGCTCAGATTCCCCGCACCTTGACCTAGCGAGGTGAACCAGTTCCTGACGGTGTAGAACTTCCTGAGTGATCAGGTCCTTACCGCTGAGATCTGATGGCCTTGTGCCGCAAAGCAAGTAGCGATGAGTGTCTTGACGAAGGGTACTACGCCACTTGTTGGTGAGCTGGGTAGTAAAACATGTCAGCAGATCCGTATGCCATAAAGGTGCAATTCCTTGCTCCGTGTATTGTCCACTTTCCATAGTCTGCGTCGCATACTGATCTGCAAGCTCGTTAGCATGTACTCCGCAATGTCCGTAACAAAACTGCAGGTGCACGGACCAGCCAGCACACGTCAGTGTTAAGAGACGCTGCCAGATCTGATCCTCCGTCCAGTCTGTCTGACTGAGCGGGCCCTTGTTTAGAGCCGCTAGAAGAGACTGACTGTCCGTAACCACAAGCAGGGTTTTTACGCCTGTGGCGGATACGAGGGATCATCAGCGTCTCTAGGGCTAGAAGCAGCGCACGGGACTCCGTCGTGCGGCTGCATGGGCGTGTGCCGCCGTTGGCACTGACCTTCTCTATTATCTCCGATGAGTTGAGGGATGAAAGCAGTATTCCAACCCCTGCTGACTTGGGAACGTCGACACCGCCATCGGTCGCTAGTATCCACGAACGATGGCTGTGCAGCGCTAGAGCCTCTTCGCTGACTCTGCGCTTTTCCCTTATCAGCTCCTCTTCGTCCGTTATTGAGAGGTCTATCGGAAGTTCCACACCGATGGTGACCCGGTGAGCGGAGGCCGCAAACCAGGGAGGAATGGAGCTGCGAAAGAACCGCTCTTCGCGTGGTGAGCTCTCGGTGATGCCATAGTCCTTTGTGTATGCGTCTACGAAGGCATATAGCTCGTCCCGAGATAATGACGAGATGCGGAAACCAGCGCGAGGTGGTGGCTCAGGCGGGGGTCTCCGCATCCAGTCCATCTGACATGCGCGTGTGTTCTCAAATATTGAGAGCCGCGCGCGCAGGCAAAGGACGTGGAGCGGTGGCATATTAGCCTCCAGTAGCGCGGATTCCGGTTCAACAGTGCTCGGAACTCCGCTGACAATGCGTGCTAGAGTTGCGTACGTCTTCTGCATCTCATTCTTCGCTGAATCCGTCGCTACTGCCCATATGAGCTCGCTGCCATAGCGTAATTTGGAAGCACCGTATCCAATGACGAACGTGCGTAGGTCATGTGGAGATGGTCCCGCCTCTTTGTGCGCTATGCAGCGTGGCTGCGATATCCGTTGCGAAGTGGCAGCGCATTGCTTGGAGGCCGCCACATTTAGCGTCAGTCGTGGATCGAGATCCATGCCGAGAAGCTTCGTAGTTCGCGATGCCCCCATGGTCATGACTGGGATTTGACATCCAGCCACTACCAGCGGCCACTTTCCTTCACGATCATAATCTGACTCCGTGTGCGTGGAAAGTGTGAACCAGGCAGCTTCACACTTTGACGGGTTGATGGTCACGCCATTTTCCTGACTCCACGCATGCAGCTTTTAAAGAACCATGTTGGCAGTGGGAATGGCGTCTTCCCGGGACTGCCCCTTAACGATAATAGAGAGGTCGTCCGCATACATGTCTGCTGTGACACCCGCAAAGCTGTTCAGCAGATTGAGAAGTGGGTGTACGTAAAGGGAGAACAAATATGGTCCCAGCACGGACCCCTGAGGAACTCCTCGCAGCATGGGACGCCGATCGCTGTGTCTGTGGCCAACTCGTGTCTTCGCGTAGCGACCACATAGAAAGTTTCTAAGCCACCTTCTACAATCCACCCCCGGAATATTAGCCAGCAAGCAACTGAGGACTCGATGATCTATGGAGTCAAAAGCCTTGCTGAAATCAACCAGCACTAGCAGGGTCCGATGGGGTCTGTAGTGGAGTCGATTGCCAATACCGCTCCTCTTGGGAAGGTTCACTTGGAAATAATGATTTCTATTATGCACCACTTCGTGTATCAGGTGTGCCAGCTGCATCGTCGTAGTGCGCATACTACGATATGCATACTGGTGGGGGTGCGGCGTCCACACCCAAAG